AATCATTCACCTTACAGAGCTCGAAATGTTTGAAATTACCTGATCAAGTGGAGCTAGATGTCTTAGGGAAAAAAGTCAGGGCCTGATTGGCTTGACAGCACTTGAACTTCATTGCATTCTTCAAGGTATCCCCAATATCTAACCATCTAATTGTATCAGTATTTACACTGGTGTTACTTGTTTCATAAATGCTTTATGAAAACAAGTATGTCTGTTACTGGTCTTCTACAAAGAACATTTAAACTGCAAGTCTAAAATAAGAAATAAATCTACATCATTTCCTCGTGTGTTTTCTAACAATACACAACCTAATTCCTTAAGGTAGGTAAACATAAGCTGAACTTAAAGTAAGGGGACATCCTAGTGAGGAACTATTTCCTCACCAAAAATTAATCAGTGCTTTACATGTCAGTGGTCACAAAGCGTATTTGCCATTGCCTGTGCACAAGAGCATGTTGAGATATACTACCAGTACATTTGCGTGTCTGTACATGGGAGAAGGACAACAGAACAGCAGCTTCTGCAGCAAGAGAATTCAAAAAATTGAATGATGACTTGGTTGGGAGGAATACGAACTCCAGCAGCCAAGGAAAAGTCCCAGCTCCCATAGTAAGGAAAATCTTGGATGTCTAACACAACTCTGCTGCAATGGAGGCTCAAGAAGTTGGCTAACTCTACTTGGCACTGCCCCTTCTCTTCTCTCCACCACTTCTGCTTCCCAAACAGAGTTGCTATTTCATGTGTATCAGCACGGTACTATTGCGTTTCTGCCTAGATAGTTCTAGAAGGTGATACCACCATAATCACTGCAAAGAAAGAAAGGTCACAGTACTGTATGATAGCTGGCCTCCAGCAGCCTCCCTGCACTCCCCAGGTTGTCAGTATGTTCTCTCTGATCATGCAGACATTCTGGGCTGTCAGCCAGTTCATTTATTTCTACTCAACTCTTCGGGATAGATACAAACTTTTAAGGGCACACAGTCACAGAGTAGGCTGAATGTCTGAGCTGTGGAGATTCAACTCTGCAGCTTGTTGCATCCCAAGTAGGGAACATGCATATAAAACCTGAACATGGAGCAGCATTACAGATCAGTGGCTTAGAGATCTTGTGACCCTGAGAATACAATTCTTTCTCTCTCTTCTCCATCAGAAGATCTAATTACCACAGCCTTTGAAAATGTTGAGCTTTGCAACCCAAGACTGAAAGGGACCACTAGCAGGGTGACTGCACTCAGTTTCACCTTTACTACCAGCAACCAAGTGATAGATGACTTGCTCAGAAAGGTTCACAGAATGTGCATTCCACATGTCAGTACAAATACAAAACTTTTCCTATAATCTGTAACAATCAAACCGTAGTAAAACGAACAAAAAAGCAATTAAATCCACATGCAGACAAAAAATAAAACCAAGTTAGTAAGAAATATTTTAAGTTCCTGTAACAATGGGAAGTTAGACAAATAAATCAAAGTTATACAGCAAACCATATCACAGGACAAATAAAGCAGGATACAATACTTCATATCTTATCAGGGGATGATGCAATCTCTTTTGTCCTAATCTTTCTGATAGTTTAAGGCTAAGCAGGACCCAGCTGTTAGGCACCTCAGGTTTTTCATTACAATGACGCTGCTAATCACCTGAACAATTTGCCTATGTGCAGCCAATATTTTATTAGAAGACTAAAAAGTATGTCAACAAGTCACAATCCATAAAGGAGAGTAAATGGTTCTCAGTGACCTTAACAGAAGCAAAAATGGCCCTAAAGTCTGATATTAAGGCTTACTTTCCCAGCTTCAGAAAATTTGTTCTGTTGTACACTCCCATCAATAAATACAGCAACTGACATCTAAAAATCTCAAAGCATTACTCCCTTGTTCCCTCTAGTGTGCTTGGTTAGCTTTCCTAGAATTTCACCTCTCATTCTTGCTTAAGAACCTTTTTCTAGTGCCTCATCTTACTAAGATAAACACATGTGAGAAAAATATATCTTCACTTCATTCTCCTGCAGGGTAACACATCATCTTCCATGCCTTTGTAATTAACACACTTGTAATTTGTGGTCAATACCAAAATCTAGAAAACAGATGGCTCTCCTATCCCTGCTTGCTTGTCTGAGAGAAGACACACGTGATTAAGTGCATATACACCCTTTTAACTTATATCAATAAAATATGACCTAGATCAGGAGTTGCACGGTACTATTTAATTGCGTTAAGACATATAGTCATCTTCCATTTTGCACCTATAAAAACATGAACTGAAACAAGACAATTCATCTAATTCATAATCTTAAGGTGAAAAGCTCATGTTTGCTGACATCCAGCACTGAGAAGGGCATCATTTTCTGAAGGCTTACAGGCTTAATTATAGCAACTGTTGAGAATCTCAGCTGATACCTAAATTTACATTTAATTCTAAGTCATTCCAAGTAATTTGTTACTAATAGTGGATTTAACAGCTGTTTATGTAAATCATTATGAAAGCTTTTAAATTACTGGATTTATTCAAGTCTTTCAATTCTTTTTCAATATTCAAACCAAAACGGACTATAATCTGTTTAGCCTCTTTGTCAAGGTGCCTGCAGAAAAAGAAAAGTAAAGTCAGTCATTTCAGTGTGAAACTTAGTGCCTGATGCTCCTACGAATGGCATAAGAAATAGGTAAGTGAATCCATGCTTTGAGCACAATATGAAATAGTAAACTACAATTACTGAATGAAATGTATTACCTACGAAAACACTTAAGCATATTCTGAAGCTATTACCCTCCAGGAAAGAACGCAGTCTCAAAAATTTTAGTGAAGTACAAAACTTTCAGCCTCAAAGTAAAGAAAACTCAAACAAATATAGGAGTTAAAAAAGGTTAGGAGGTCCAAGTACATAAAACATGGTGTTGTATACTTAATAACCCCATGGCGCCTGAGTATTTTCACTTTATCTCACATTCAAGAACAATAAAACCAATGAGATTTTAATTTATTACTAAACCAATGAAAATAGATTTGCTTGGGGTTAAGTAGGGCTACATATAGGCAGCTAATTTACAGTTGTTTAAAAACCAGGATATCCATAGCAACTTTAATTAATTTTTTAAATATACATGAAGTTAATTGTACTCTTCAGACTTTCCAGGATTCAAGTCTAGTTACAGAATTACATCTTGGTTATAACATCCAGGTTCATTCTCCTCAATAGGTATACATCAGGTTTGTAGGACTATAATTAATTATTGGTGTTAACAGTTACTGCAACTCAACTACGTTATGCTTCCCACAACTCTAAAGTTATTGAAGTCCTTATAAGTCAAAGCCAGCTTCAAATAAGTAATAGGAAAATAGTAGCAAACAAAAAAATCAATTGCACAATTCTCAATATAAAATTTTTACTCCTTTTCAAGGAAAAAAACAACAAAACCAAATACTACTGGTGAGTCATTAGTACAGATATTTAAGATAGCTCAAACAAAACTTAGATCAGCACATTCTCTTATATATCTAGAAAACTATGCACCATCATGAATTAAAAGTTGCTTGGACTTTTACTTAATTTCATTCTGTTGTTAAAAAGACTTAGTCACACAGAATAAACCTAAACAGTTGTCTATCTTGGGAAGATTTTGCTGTGTTTGAACACAGCTTTGAAGAATCAAGTAAGCTAACATCACACTGATTATCACTGATGAGCCAGAGCAAAGCAAAGCAAATTGAGGTCATCAGCCTGTCAGCAATGTGACAGTCTTGAAACGTGTACCATAGCATTTGTAACCCAGACCATTTAACCCTAAAAATGCTCAGCTTCTGTATTACACTTTAATTTTGTGGGCTACTTTCACACTGATTGCCTATGACTTATTTCCACTTAAATACTCAAAAGTTTTGCAAAACCCTAGTTTCCTCAGATGAAAACACTTGCTAAATATGCTTGCTAAAAATAGTGATTTTCTACCCTTTTTAGGAGGCTAGAAGCAACAGAAGTTGTGACCAAATACTTTTTTTCTAATTAGAACAACAAATCAAGGTAACAAGAAAAGCTACATCTGTTGAGTAACAAATAAAGGTTTTACCCTGTCACCATATATACAATTAAAAAACAGATTTTTAGAATATTTGCTAATTAGAAAGTTGATAAATATACCACTGTCATACAACACCATTACCCATCCTCTTTAAGTACTTGTCACAAGTATATACTCTTACAGCAGAATCACATTCTTTCTTAGGATAGCACAACACTACTATTATAAGTATTGAAATTACTATTTTTAAATTTCCCTTAAAAGTTTAACACTTGTTTTAGCATACTGTATTTAGGATTTTACCTCTATTGATTCTAGCTATGCTCCCACCTAAGTGTGCTGCAAAAGAAACTATTAACACTTGCTGGAAACAAAACTGGAATATTGACTTGTTGCACAGTGTATATTGCAGAAACAAAACAGCCATGGGCATTTTTAATACTCATAAGGTTACAAAAAAAAATCTGAAAGCTCAGAAGCCATTTTCTTATATCTACACAGGAACCAATTTCATGACTACACATGGAATTTTTAAAAGATATTGAAGGTACTGTGCACAATCCTTTTCCTAGCCTACACAGACAGGGCCTAAAGCAGCATTATCATTACAGAATGAGACAACATAAAGAGAAAACCAACCCAAAACTCAAAAAACTTTGTTTCAAAGTCAAGTTTTATTATTCAAAACATACAAGTAAAGGCCAAGAGTATTTTATTTGTCTTATTTTCCGAATAAGGTATACCGAGAAGGTATGAGGATAATTCTGCATCTACACTTCACACAAATGTAGGGGGAGTGTACTTGCAAGGGAAAGGTTTTGGGGGTAGGTAAGACGCTTAATGAGGCTAAATTAAAATTCAGATATAGCTATGTGACACCTACAGTTTAGGCTTTGAGAGCCCCCACTAATTTGCTAAAATGGTGACGCGCTGCCAATTCAAATGATGGCACTGTTAGGAAAAAAGAACTGCTGCAAGGCCTACCTACATTTGCGACAGGGCTTCCCCTATGTTAAGCTGCAACTAACCAGTGCCCTCACACAGAACGGCACAGCAACACATCTTCAGACCAGTATGTCACCTTGGGAGCCCGACACAGCTCTTCTCATGTCTGCCTCTGCAACTGGTGCTTCAATGAGCTTGATGCCCAGTGGAGAGTTACCTGCATGAAAGAATACAAAAGGGAAAACTTGATGTAAGTGCCCTCTTTCCCTCCCAGCTGCCCAGTAAAAATCAGATGATGTGTCCATGCAGGAAGATTTTGCTTCAACTCAAGAACATTCTTGCTTCTTGAAGTTCAGAACTTGAGTGCTTTAGAAAAAACACACAACAGCCTTCAATTAAGCATTCTTGCACTCAGCAACCTGTAACATAAAGATTTACTCCTTCCTCATAGATTTTTTTTCTCCCCATTGCTTTACTCTTTCCTCACAGTTTTACACGGATTTACACCTTTTTGTTTCAACTACAGTCTGGTGTTATTACCCCTGTAAATCTCTACACAAGCATGCGGAGGAGACACTGTCTAAGGCTTGTCAGCCTGAGAGCAGCTTTTCTGTCTTTCCCGCCAGCAGCACCAAACGGGATTTAGGCATCACAAAATAGGTCAGGTTGGAAGGGACCACCGTGGGTCCAACCTCCTTGTCTAAGCAGGGTCATCCCAGAGCACACTGCACAAAATTGCATTCAGATGGTTCTTGGATATTCCCAGAGAGGAAGACTTCACAACCTCTCTGGGCAAGAAGCACTGTTGTGCAAGAGGTCCCAAGAAGCGAAATGGACTTTGTTTTAGAAGTCGAACAAGACAGCCCAAAAGTCCCGTTAGCCCGGCCCGCCCCAAGGTGCTACTAAAACCGCCGCCCGTGCCCGGCCACCCCGTGCTGCTCCCGGCCCGGCCAGTCTCGCCTCGGCTCCTGCTGCGCCCCGGCCGCTCTGCCTCGCCATGGCCGTTTCCTCCTCCTCCTCAGCGGCATCGCTGCACCCGGTCACTCACCTGATCTTTGACATGGACGGGCTCCTGCTGGGTGCGTAGCCGGACCCCTCTCCCCAGCACGGCCGGGCCCCGCTGCGGTGGGTTCCGCCGCACCGCCAGGCCCGGCCCGCCTGCCCGGAGGCGAGGGGCCGTAGCTAGCGGCGGGCAGCCTCTGCCTCTGCCCCTTCCCTTCCCCCTCCGCCTCCCGCGCCTGAGCGGCCCAGGCTGTCCCTGCTCATTCACAGCCTCCTCGCTCCGGGCAAGCAGCCAGAACGCCCCGGGCGGCGCTGCTAAAACCAGAGTGAAGGGATTAAAGTAACAGGAAACGAATTAATGCCTTCTCCTCCTTCCGCTACTCGCTGCCTTTCGGGGGCAGATTTCGCCTTAAAGTAACAGACCCGGAGCTAAATGTAAACGGGACATTTGCTCTGGCTGGCTATGGGCTGAGCGAGGTTGGAGTGGCTGTGGGGAGAGCGGTGAGGGGCAGGTTGGGGCTGAAAGCCGGGGAAAGCGGGTACGGAGGAGAACGGGCATGCAGTGCGGGGCTGAGGGAGCCCCGGGCCGCGCACTGCCGGAGGCCGGGAGCAGCGAGTCTCGGACAGGACAGCGCTCGGCAGCCTTCCGACCTAAAATCTCCACTGAAGAGCCCGATAGTCTTTTAGTTTTGGTATCAGCAGACTTTCTGCTTTGTAGGGTTGTTCTGTAACCTGACACTTCCGGTTCTACATTTCGATTGGGTTTTGAAGTTTGAATAGTCGCTGTAACTAGGACAGTTTTAAAGTCTGCTCTTAACTGTTCGCTGAATCAGGACCCTCTGCTGAGGAATAATAGAATATTTTGGTATGTGACTTAGTTTTTGAAATAGTCCATGTGAGTTATCACACAGGAAGAAGTTTCTGTAGGATGTAGGTGAGCTCTTAAAAGATGAGTTGAAAAGATGAGGTGAAAAGATACCTCCAGTGCCTTCTTTCAGCCTGAATTGTTGCAGTTTCTGGGAAGACTGCTGTGAAGTCTGGTGAATGATGCTGTGTTTCCAAGAAATGTACACTTTTCCCTCCTTCAGGGCTATAAGAGGTGAAGGTAATGCACACTTAACATTTTAAACCAAAAATGGGTATGCTATGCACAACAGTGATTGAGTTATTTTAGTTGCATTTTCAACTTCATCACTGGAGTCTGAAATTGCCTGGGGATACACACATACACACACACACACACACACACACACACACACACACACATATATATATGTGTGTGTGTAATCCTATAATCCAGACCTAGTTGTTTTAATTCCATCCTTGGAAGTTTCAGGAAAGCCTTTTTTAGTTACTACTGCTCTCTGTCAGAAGTTGGAAATCTGCTTCACACAGACAATGTTCATCTTAACAGGATGGTAATGATAAAGGTATATGATTTCTTCTATTTAAAAAACTTACATATAAAGTATGTATTGTATTTCAGAAATCTTTCAGCTGTAAGGAATTAAACTGAAAATATTCTTCAAGTATCTTCCAGTAGACGAGTGAAAGTGACACTACCTTGGTCATTCTCATAATGTGTGCTACATTTCAGAGGACTTTAGTATGTTTCAGCTTCTGAATACTATGAAACCTTTAACATTTTTAGTGAATCTGTTTGTCTCATGATGAGCAGTGACCCTTGGGAGGCAAGAAGGCAGTCAGGAAATTGCTTGGACTTTCCCAAGATTCCTAAATGTTTCAAGAAATTTGGAATAATTTAGGGGAAAGAATGCTAAAAGGCATACACAAATTAGATTCATTCTGCCCAACCTATCTCCTGTATATCTTATGAATGAGACAAATAGTCATATTGATGTTAACCTACATAAGAACACCGTAATTTTCTTACGAAGTTTTTAATGTGTCACATAGTGTTCACTGGAGGTGATAAAGTGAATAACACACATTTCAAGAAGCTACAGAAAGAGGCCCAAAATTACTTCCTTTCAAAGAGCAGAAATGAAAGTTTTGGTATTGAATATGTATTACTAACTTTTTTTAAGTGCCCCCATAGTTGGCTGCAATTTTTAGAATCTGAAGCTTCAAATTCTGCTGTTTTTCCCACCAAAGTAGTGTCTGCAAATGTACATGACTATTTTTAGATGTTTTCACCTGAACCCTACTGATTTTATAGAACAAATATAAATTGATCTATAAATGATGAGAAAATAATTGAGCCTTTAATTCATCTGATGTAACGTGCCATGAATTTGCTTTCTGTAATTGACCTGCTTGCTTCTGGTCAAGGAAGGTAGGATATCTTCTGATAGAAAGATTTTCAAAATCTTTGTGAGTGTAAAATCCTTAAATGCGGTCTGAGGTGTTTACAAGGTTCTTGACTTTGGAAATAATCCAAGTATTACCCTATAGAACCTGCATCCTATACTTTACTGGCTGATGCTTGGCTGTGTGAAAGTGCTAAGTCTATCAACTGATATTTTATCTCCCTTCTCCCTCTGTAGCATAATTGAGACTGATTAAGTTGTCCTTGAGTCACACCTTGATCAGCTTACTTTCAATACCAAAGTTACTGCCTCTGAACTGCCTGTGCAAATACTTTTAACCCTATCATTCAGAGTCCTTCTGTATAGTTGTTTTAAAGGTTATCTAATACAATTGTTATCTGCATTTCTAATAAATGCAATCTACCCTTCTTTTCTTAAATTACTTGTATTACTTTTTATTTTTATTTTTTATTACCTAATCTTTCCCTTTGAACTCTTGGATGAAATCTTAGGGGTTTTGCCTGTTGTTCCAGTTGCAAGGAGGTTGGCACTGTAAAGCAGTGCGCTCATTTCGTAAGTGAAGTATGTGACAGCACTTCCAGATATTTCATTTTTTAATAGGTAAAATTAATTGAAGGACTTCTTTTTTGTAGGAAGCTCCAACTGTAACAGAAAAAAACAGACTTTGTGCTAATGTACAGCAGTTGCATTCTGCTTTGTTATACATAGAATAATAGAATATCTCAGGTTGAAGGGACACATAATGTGAATGACTGAGGCACGGACTCAGACCAGCAGGGAATCTGAATCATTTTTTCAAAGAAACAAACTGGTTTTATACACTTTTCAAGGCACAGTATTTCCTTACTTGATAATTCTCAGTACGTGACCTATCCCCTGTTGCCACATCAGCAAAACTCTTTGTAAATATCTTTCCTTGGGGTGATCACGCTCTGTTCACCTGTCTGTCAGGCTCCTTTCTGTAGGGCTCTATGCGTGGCACCTCCTGCCAAGGTCAGGTCAGCTCTGTGCTGCCATGTGCTTCTGCAGGTGTGTGCTACAGCCTGCAGCTCAGCTCCATCCCATCTCTTGCTAAAGCATAAGGATCATTGAGGCCAGCTCCTTGCAGGACTTCTGAAAACTAAAACAGAGGACTAAGAGCCTTGTACAAATGCTCCTTGAACTCTGACTGCCTTGGTGCCATGATGACTGCTTGAGGGAGCCAGTGACTGATCACTCTCTCAATGCAGCTTCATTAATTAGCCTAATTGATTAGTGGTGCACTGTGTAGTAGAAACCAGAGGAAAAGGAATAACTACATCTTGATTTTTTTGTACTGCTATATTTTCTCAAAAAAACCCAAAACAAACAACAACAAAAAAAAACACAACAAAACTTCCCAGCACTTCAATTAAAGCATTACATTTCTTAAGTTAAATTTCTACTTGATTTCCTACAGCAAATAATAACATTAAATTATCAGAATTGTAGATTGTTTTTTTTTAAAATGTGGTCCTACAGAAGAGTACTGTTCTAACCACTAGTATGTAGTATAGTTAAAAATATTAAACCTACTTTTGTGTGCACTTATCCAACACACAGTACAGAGTTAACAGATAATAACAATAATGACAACAACAACAGAAACTAGAGATATTTGGTACCTAAATAAATCCTGTTGTTACAATTGTACAGTTTGGATCCTGGCATTTTATTGTATTGTAAAAACATACAAAATCAATGCTAGAGATAGAGAAGGAAAAATATATTTAATTTGTACAAAATATACAACTAGAGTAATGTCCCCCAGGATCTATTTTATAAACTTACTGCATTGGTTTCTTTTTAAGCTATGACAAGTGTTTTTGTTATATAATTGTAGCCAATAGCTACCCTACTACCAAAACACAAATAGGATTGAATGTTGCCTTTGTTGATCTGTGATTAAACTTATAGGGGGCTGAAAACATTTTAAATTCTCTACAAGCTGCATGTATAATATTAACCTTTCCCAACAAACAAATGAACTTTGGAAAATGGCTGCAAAGATGTTTCTTAGCATTGTTCTCAAAGCTGAACTAGAGCTAAACTAATACACAAAGAACATGACACAATATAGGAAGTATAGGAAGTTTAGTCATGTATTTATTTTTAAATTTCTGCTATAAGAAGGGATTGTTTTCTGTAAATTATTTTCCTTGCCAGTGTCTCTTAGTGTTGGAAAACAGTATCTTTACATGAGGTAAGTCAGTGTGTTCAAGTATGAGATGTGGTTCCTAAAGCAGGTCAGTTTTGCAGGATACCTTCACTGTTACTGGGAGTCATGTTGGACTGACAGGCACAGGTATGCCAGCTTATGATCATTTCTAGAGGGATGAAA